TCCCTCCCCACCTCTCTCTCTCTCACACACACACACAGAGGCAGGGGTGGAATTCAAATTTCTTAACCTGTTCTGTGGGCATAGCCTAATTTGTGGGTGTGGCTTGGTGGTCATGTGCTTGGCTGGGTATGGCTTGTATGTAAATATTATAAATATTTATGTAAATATTGATTTTTTTTATTAAAAAAGAGCAACTTTTACCCAAAATCAGGCAAAGCAGACAGGCAGATTGAGTTGCTCACAGAATCACAGATTCATTCAGAGATCTGTGTTTCTGCCATCAGCTACCTGAATCTGTCACATAAAATTTGCTTGCAAGCAAACTCATCAAATTTGCTAGCAAGCAAACTCACAAAATTAACTCACAACATACCATGTATGTAAATATTGAATTTTTTATTTAAAAAAAAAGAGCAACTTTTACCCAAAATCAGGCAAAGCAGGAAGGCAGATTGAGTTGCTCACGGAATCACAGATTCACTTAGATATCTATGATTTTGCCATGGGCTACCTGCACTGAATAATAGAAGCTTCAGTCCTAAGGAAGGTTCAGTTCTGCTTAAAAGCAGAGCTGAAGATCTAAAGATTAGCTAGAAAGCAAGAAATCCAATGGTTTCCTGCTTTCTAGCTAATCTAAATCTCCCTGCACAGCAAAACAGCTGATGGTTGGGGGGAAGAAAAAAGAAAAATAGCAACTTAGCAGGCAAGTTTCCCAGGTAAGGAGTGAGTGGGCGGGAAGGGTTCCTGTGGGCCATGTGGGCGGTGCAGCCTTGTGTTCCCGTGCAGCCTGGATTAATTGCTTTGGTGGGTGCTCTGGGGGTGACATTTCTCTGTGGCCCACCAAAAAAATTTCGCGGACCACCAGTGGGCTGCGGACCACCAGTTGGCGACCACTGGTCTAGAGTGAGGGAGACTCAGGCTTAAATCCAGTCCAAGACATGGAAATTCCTTGCATAACTTTGGGCCAATCTCTCTTTCTCAGTGTAATCTATTCCATAGGCTTATTACAGAGAGAAAACATTCAGGGAGGGGATACCATATCTGCTATCATGAATGCTTAAAAGAAAGAAAAATTATAAATCAAGCAAATAACAAGCTTGTCGGCCTGATTCTATTTCTTTCATTTCAAGCACTGTACCAGATAATAAATAGCATCTAAAATCAAATTAATTTCATCACACTCATATCAGAAGCATCAAAGCACTTCCCGTGGTCAGTGAAAATACCATTGCCTTGGGGACCTCCAGTTGGAGGGATCCTTTCATGTCCCCAGCAGGAGCTGGCTGCAATATCTAGCATCCCGTTGATCACCAGAGTTGATTCAATTGCTCTGGCCAGCTAGACAGGTGTCCCCTTCCTCCCTCATTGCTCCATGTGCATCCCTCTTGAAGCTGTGTGTTCAGTAGAAGAGGACAACCACCGCGGATAGGAGTGTACCGATCTTTGGTCAACGGTATATGATAGCTACGCTCCCCTGCTAGAACCTCCAAATAAATCAAATTAATGAATAAGCCATATAAAATTGTCATTCTAAATATGCTTACTTGGGAATAAGTCCCACTGAAAATTGTGGAATTTTATATTGATTTTTCACTTTATAAAAAATTCAGAAAAAACCAACAATAATTAAAAACTTGATTAAAATACAACATCTGTTTTAAAACAAGGTTTAAGCATTTGTGTGTGAGTATTTTAAAAAAAAAATCTAAGCATGCATTACATTTCACAGTAAAGAATGCATTGTCCTTCTAATAGTTACATTCATAGTCCTCCACTTACGACCACAATTGGAACCAGAACTTCTGTCATTAAGCAATGTGATTGTTAAGTGAGTCATATCCAACTTTATGATCTTTTTTGCTGTGATCATTAAGGAAATTACACAGTAATTAAGCAAATCCAGCTTTTCCTGGGAAGGTCAGAAACAGTGATCATGTGACCTCAGGATGCTGCAGCCATCATAAATATGTTCCAGTGGCCAAGCACCCAAATTTTGATCACATGATTCTAGGGATGCTACAGTGGTCATAAGTGATCTGACTGGTCATAAGCTTCTTTTTCCAACACCATCATAACTTTAGTCATTAAACAGATGGTTTTAAATCAAGAACTGCTTGTAGTGCCATATAATTATTCAAGAACCATTTTTTTCCTATGTTATTTTCAAAATTAAACTTTACCAAGCTTCAACATGACCTCATGAATACATCCAAACAGTTTTCTTGACAGTGGTTTGCCAATGTCTTGTTCTGGAATTTTTTCTTGTCTAGACTGCAGTCATCCAAATGCTAATCCAGCTTAAACATTTGAGCTCAGCCAATTTCAGCTACATTCTGCCAAGTAGCTATGCCTTTCCAAATCTTTAGAAAATGGAAAGAGTTAGCTTTCTACCTTGTGACTGATAGTTATCAAAAGCATTGCAGAGCAGTTGAAGCTAAAATATCTGAAGAACAAATTAATCAGAGGTGTTCTGAGTAAACTCTATAAGGCAAAAATGATAATATAGCTTTTGTATTGTTACTGTGATGTTAGACACACGTAAGACACACAGTTTGCACCACAATGCGGTGCACATTTCATCATTCCACTCTTCCCCAAATATGGACGCCCATATATTCCTGATCAAGAAAAACAAACATTGCAAGCAGTAAGAAAGCCATCTGCTTATGTATTAATGTCTGTCTGGCAATGCTCATATTGCCTTACTGCATTGGATAGTGTTACTGTTAATAATACATCCTGACTTATGTTTCTAGTTCTTCTGCATGAACAACTGTAGACAATTAGATAAGTATCCAGAGTCTTTCCTTAGGAGGAACATATTACAGAAAATCAATGAATAAATCACCTTTATTCACCACATAGATTTGATAAACTGTCCTTGAAGCATAGATTTTAATGATCTAGAAATTTCTCTCTCTCTCCCTCCCGCCCTCTCTGTTGTTTTGATGCTTACCTAAGTCTTTCTGAGCTTAACACACTAGTGATAGTATCTCTCCCAATGCTATATGCAGAAATAGTTGCACTAAAACTAGACAGGATACAGGACTCTCAAGAGTCTGGTGAATTTTCAGCCTTTAATTTTGCAGTTTATTATGTTTAGTTTAGTTTAGTTTCATTGCACCTCGTACAACGAAATCAAACTTCATCTTCAGTGCACATCATGACCATGACCATGAAAATAAATACAAACACACATTCTTCACCCTCCACACATTGAACCGAAAACCCCCAACACCGCACCAATACTACACTATACAGCAGAATTCAAAAGAGCTACTGCCCTGGCATAGAAGCTATTTTTCAGCCTATTTGTCCTTGTTTTTATTATTCTGTACCGTCTGCCAGATGGTAATAGTTCAAAAAAAGGGTTCCCAGGATGAGATAGATCTTTGAGAAGGCAGTGGGAGCTATAAAGCTCTTCCAAAGAGGGGAGAGGGCAACCAATGATCCCCTGGGCAATGAAGTCAACCCTCTGGAGTGCTTTCCTATCTGCCCCTGTGCAATTGGCAAACCACAGAGGTGCAGTAAGTTAAAATGCTCTCTATGGTGCAGCGGTAGAAGGTCACCAGCAGTTTTTCATTCAGTTGTTGTTTTCTGAGAAGCCTCAGGTAGTATAATCTCTGCTGGGCCCTTTTGACCAGGGCTGCAATGTGGGCACCCCAGGTCAGGTCCTCTTTTAGGGTAACACCCAGAAACTTAAAACTGGCCACTTGCTCCACTCGGTCTCCATTGATAAACAAGGGCTGGATGTCTGATCTGTTCCTTTTATAGTCCACTATAAGCTTCTTGGTCTTATTGGTGTTGAGGACCAAATTATTGTCTCCACACCACGAAAGCAACTGGTTCACCTCATCTCGATAGGCAGACTCATCCCCACCGGAGATGAGTCTCACCACTGTTAACACAAATTATATATATACTTTAAAAATAAGCTTTCAACACAATATTTTGAGTAATGTAATGTGAACATTATATATTCAGTTACCCTGTCACAGTAAAACTAAAAAAAATGGTCCTACAACTTTTGTTTGCTTTGTAGCATCTGTTTTGTGGGAAGGGAGGACTGACAATAATCATAACAATTAGCGATAGCATGCAGTTTGTGGAATTTAATCCAAAGTCATTAGATTCCCTCTAACCAGCGCTGATTAGCTATCATAATACCTTTCTTGCTGCAGAATAGATAAGTTGCTTTCATTTACATATTCACTGGGAAGGTTATAGAGTGAGCTATGACCTGAGATCTTTAATTCTATTATAATACCATGCAAAACAAATTGGGAATAATTCTCATTTGGAGGTATATCACTAGAAAATTGTTCTGCTACTTTTTCATCTCCTAGCAGAGACTACCCTCTGTTGGAATGAAAAGGAAAATCAAGTCTACTATATTATTCAATTGATCTAAGCTTAAAAATGTGACAGCTACTATAGATATTAAACATTTTACAATTATAACCTTACTTTGTTGTTTTCATTTATTTCATCCATGTAGCAATAAATGCCACCTCTGATTTACCCCTGCCTTCCTTCTAAGTTAAGAAATGTTCCTATTTTTGTTAACTTATTTTTCAGAGCAATAATCTTTTTATTTGCAAACAATGATGCTGAAAAAAATACTTGCCTTTGTTATTCCAGGATCCTTCTGTAAATAAATACATTTCAGTTAAGCTTTAGTAAAGGCATAAGAGGGCTAGTGTTATTTATATATAATCTGTATCTATAATGGTCCATTTTTATGTACATAATCTCCCTAAATTTTATAAAATTGCAATCGCACACATTTTTGGTTCTTAGTGGTAGAAAGCTGTTCTGGACAAAGACATTAATATCACAAACAAAATAACTGCATACATTAAAAGCAATGTTTGCTGTATTTTCATCTCTGTTCCAAACACATGTAAATTTAAATAGAGTCTCAGAAGGGTATTTGTATTTTATTTTGATTATTAAAATGGAAGACTTTTTAAGAAGTGTTTTCTGCCCTTTCCTTATAGTTACCGCTGTTTGGCACTTTTGTACTGGAGAATGTTTCGGCTCAAAAGAGACCATGCTGTAAAATATTCAAAAGCTCTAATTGAATATTTCAAGGTACGTTCCTGCTCTCACCAAGCCCAGGTCATGCGCTAGTCCCTCTCTTTCAATCATGTCATTAGTTGTGTTTGGAAAAGATTAAAAACAGGAATGCTATGCTGCCATCTTGAGTCTTGGAGAAAGGCAGGATGTAAATATAAGATAAACCAATTGCTATGTATTATTTTACGGTTACATTTTCTTTCATTTTTCTGTTTTATCATTTATATGGTATTGTAACTAAAAATTGCACTGAGTACTAAATAAATATTTATTGATAAATATTTATAGATGTTTATTTCAATTTTTTTGTATTTTTTTTCTGTCTCCAGAATTCATCTAAAGTTGCTCAGGCACCATCTACCTGGAGTAGTAGTGCAAAGTAAGTTTACTATTTTCCTCATATGCTCCTTGTGTTCCAGATCAAAACATTTCAGATGGATGCACTTTGTTGGGGAAGCTAATACTAAACAATCATTCAGCTATTAATGCTCACAGTATTCCATCTGTGGGCACTTTGAGATAATGTTTCATTGTTGCTGTTAATCTTTGTTTATGGTAACTCCTTGACAATAAAAAAGAGGCACTTTGCAGCTTATTTTGCTAAAAAAAAGTTAAACAAAGGTAACTTGAATGAAATGTGAAGATTACTTCACACATTTCTAAGCAAGAAACCTGAGTCTGCCACCGAAGGCTTCCTCAATTGGAGCCCTCCAATTGTTGTAGGGTTCCCATCATCCCCAGGCAATTGACAGGCCAAAAAGTATAAAGGCCATGATCCAATTTTGAAAATATCTACCATACTCATATTTTATATATGTAATAAATTAAATGTGCAATTTTAATTTACCATTTGTCTAAAAATGCACACAAGCAAAATAAAATGTTAAAAGACTAATATTTGCAACCTAAAAGCTGCTTTTCTGGTAGTCTCGATTCGTTTGTCATGCTTTATATCCTGAAACAACATTAACTACGTGTTGAAAAGTACAGGGGAAGAGCCAAATTTGTTTCAAAGCAGAACATAGGCTAAACATGTGTAAAATCCTAAACGGGATGAGTTCTTCAAATAATTTATTTTTACTTATATTGTGCATAGTAGTAATATTGTTGAATCGACTGTTCCAGGTGTACAGGAACTCCTTCTCCCATATCACCCAGTTTATCTCCGCTGAGCTCAGTTGGGAGCACCGGAGCTCCTTCCCCTTCCTCCATCATCAGCATTCCTCACCGAATACACCAGATGGCAGCTAACCATGTTAGTATCACTAACAGCATCTTACACAGTTATGACTACTGGGAGATGGCTGACAATCTTGCCAAGGAAAACCAAGGTGTGTGATAAGAAACAGTGGGTTGAAACGCTAAAATGTCATATTGACCAGAATTTAAGTCTAGAGCTCTGAATCCCACATTTGCTGATAAAGCGGGTTTGAGTCCCCACCTAATTCTGATATGGCTTCTTACCTTGGATGTTTCTCCCAAAGCTTCAGAGCTAAACACTAATATTGCAATATAAGCAAGAAAGGAATCCCTTTGCAGCACAAGTCTTAAATATTCCCAGGACTACAGCAGAAGCGGGCAGTCCCTGAGTTACATTTTGGTTTCCAAGCACAAACATTGCCTGGCATTTTCTATATCTCAAATAGAACTAACAGAACTAATTGACAGGGTTGAAAGAGACCGTGTAGGTGTTCTAGCCCAACCCCCACCTCCAAGCAGGAGTCCCTACACTATTTCTGACAAATGGCAGTCCAGTCTCTTCTTGAAAGCATCCAGTGATGAAGCTCCCACAGCCATTGGTTCCATTGGTTGATTGCTGTCACTGTCAGAAATTTTCTCCTTATTTTTAAGTTGAATCTCTCCTTGATCAGTTTTCATCCATTATTCCTTGTCTGGCCTTCAGGTGCTTTGGAAAATAGCTTGACCCCTTCGTCTCTGTGACAGCCCCTCAGATGTTGGAAAACTGCTATCATGTGTCCCTTGGTCTTTCTCTTCCCTGGACTAGCCATACCGAGTACCTGCAACCGTTCACTGTATGTTTTAGTCTCCAGTCCCCTAATCATTTTGGTTGCTCTTCTCTGCACTTTTTCTAGAGTCTCAACATCTTTTTTACAGTGTGGTGACCAAAACTGGATGCAGTATTCTAGGTGTGGTCTTACTAAAGCTTTATAGAGCGGTATTATTACCTCACTTGATCTTGATTGTATCCCTCTGTTAATGAAATTTAGGATTGCATTGGCTTTTTTGGCTGTATTTTTTTTAAAGTGAGAGAATATTTGTGGTCCTTCTCCCATATGCTTCCAGAAGCCTAAACAAGTCCTAAGGTGCTGCATTGTCCGATCTTGAGAAAGAAAGTTTAGCATTTGCACTGGCCAGCCTCTTAGCTCACATCCTTTCTGCGCTGTTAATACTTGCTGGAGCTGGGAATGCTGGTGTATAGAAGCAAAACCTAGAAGGGACATTGATGGACATGAAGGAGGAACCAAAATGAGAGGGCAGAAAAATGTTCCCCATTGTTGGTTTATAATTAAGCAAAATTATGACAATAGCTTTTCTATTTCTTAGTAAAAGTGTTCAGTGTGTGCTTGATTAAACCTTTGAATATCAGTTAATCTTTGTTTAGAGTACTTTCATAAAATATTATCTGCTTGGGATTTCCAAATCAATTAAATACCTGTTGCACAGCAAGGATTAATGAGTCTAATTTATTTTATTATTTTCTTTCCTAGATTTCTTTAATGATTTGGATGCACTGATGGGAGCTATCACATTGCACAGCTCTATGGAGCATCTGGTTCAGTATACACAGCAAGGCCTTGACTGGATAAGGTGTAGTGCTCAGTTATCCCCATGATAGTTCTCCTCGCCTGGACACTAAACTCACAATATGGATAATTCAGTTATTCTGGACACTGTGCTACAGAAAAACTCAACTGCAGCATTGCTTCAAACACAATGTGAATATTTTGTTAACATTGGACAATATTGTTTCAGAAAGCAAAAATAGGTCTGGGTATATTATGCAACTTTGTCTTTTCCGGACCATTGTTTTTTTAATTATCTCCAATTATCACTTCCTTAGCAAGAAACTTAAGCATAGCTATATTAGAAAAACTCTCCCACACACAAGATACACATTCCTCCAATATTTAGAAAGCCAAAGCTTAGTTTTATGGATTGATTTATTCAAATTAAATGTAGTATCTGTTGCTAATAATCTCTTAGAACAATTTTTCTCAGTATTTATGGATCTCTATATCTCTATGATTTCTATAGATCTTATTTATAAAGAGAGGCTTACTGAATGATTAAGGACAGCTTCAGTGACAAATTCTGAGTAAAATAAAAGATTGTTTATTTTACATTTTAAAAGGAACTTGTGGCCATTAACTTTGCCAGGCAATATTTGGATGCCAGTTTGCTTGCAAACTGATCGCCTTCTTTCTATCATCTTATTAAGTAGTAGCTTTGAAATTGGGAGCATTAGCAGTTTTGGAGTTCTGGTATTCAATATGCATTTTTTACAGATTTGTTGGACATATGATATCAGAAAAATGCAACATAGAAATTATAAATATGTCTGTTACTTGCAACTCTGAAACAATCATCCTTGTGAGTTCTTCATGATGGACCCGAATGCACAGAGAAAGGTCTATGACCTTTTGTGCTCTTAAACAGCAGCAATGTTCACTATTTGTCCTTCAAATCTTGTTTTTTTAATAAAGCCAGGTTTACACTTTTGCAAATAGTTTATTAAGCAAAAACATATTTTTAAAGAGTAGAGAAGGATGAAGTGATTACATACATCAGAACTTTATTAAAGTGTTAATTTTTATGTAGAACAGCATTTCAAAGCCAACTGTAGCTGATTCCTCCCAGTTCCAAAGCAAAGGAGCATTTTAATATAAAGTTTAAAATAATAACTTACTTGTAATATTTTTTCCGCATCAAGAAGGGCTCCATTAGACTGGTTTAACTGAGGCACCTGATGGATCCACTTGGTTTCCAGAAAGTGCTGGGAGAATTCTCTGAATCTTTGGTGGATAGGTCATTCAAGGCTTTGGTTCTTTCCTGGAATGAGGGTATTTCATTGGCCTTAGATAAGGATTGCACTTGAAAGCCACTTGGTACACACTGATTTTGGTGAGCTCCTTGGTTTTCTGAGGTGCTCTGAAAAATGAAGCATTAAAAGAGACACCTAGAGCCCCACTGGAGAAAGACAAAGAATATGTCCAATCAAACACTTTTACAAGCCTATATTAGATCTTACGTCATGCAATAAGGATGGCAAAGTGTAATTATTTTTCTTCACTTACTGCATTTGCAGAATGTACTTTAGCACTCCCTTGTAGAATGATTATAGAATTTTCTATTAAGGCATCCTGCATATTTCTGGGACTATCCTTCTCCTTTTGTTTTCTAGTAAGTAATCAGTAAAATTTTACAAAGTTAGCTCACTCTTATGTCGTAGCTGTATCGTTTTATCACCTTGTCATAGGTACAACTTCTGTATGGCTGTGCTAGTCCAGTAGAATGGCATTCCTACTACAGTTTGAATGGCTTAGAACCCTATTGGGCTTCTGTAATCTCTGAGAATTCAGCTTTTCAGAATTCACTGGTAGTCTTTCCTGATTGATTAATCCTGTAGAATTGGTTATTTTCTCTGACATATGATCAAGCAGCATTATGATCTGTTTTGTTTCTTCTATTGCTGTTTTATGGGTATTTCAACCTTAGTATTATCAAAACATCTTGAGGGGATCAAAAGTACATATTTCAGGATCCTCTGTTAAAAGAGGCTCATAGTAGATTCCTATGCTGAGTTCCTAAAATACTAAATTCTGGAATAATTGAGTAAATTAAGTGCTGATTATTGAAAACTATAGAAAAAAATGCATTCATTTATATAACTAATTAAATATTATATATCTTAGATTCTAGAAAAGTTATATCAAAAAAGGATAAACTCAAGACTATAATTAGGCAAATAAAATAAGGTTTTAAAATTATAGAAAATTACTGCACATTATTGGCCCCTTCTTGATTTAAGAAGAAACAGAAGGGAAGATATAGATCTGCAACCAGAAAAAATAATTTATAGAACTACTTCCTCAATAGAACCATCAATATCAAGGATTGAAAAGGACTTGGTCCAAAGTAATTGGCACACTGCGATACCAAAATATCTTGGACAGCACATAGAAAACTTGCACATTGACAGAATTTCCCTCTATCAATTGCACAAGGCTACACTGCTTGGACCTACACTGATAGTATGCTGATAAATTATAGCATTCTATATTCTTGGGATGAACTCAATGTGTATAAAGGCTAACACTAGCTAAAAAATTAGCAGTTATGATATCATATTACTATTCATATAGTAATCAGATAACACTTGCCTATCCCAGGTCCTTGGGAAGAACTTGATAGGTGGATAAAAATGCCAAATTCAGTCTAAGCATGTGCTGACTATGCAATCATTTTTGTGGTAATTTAGTATGTACAAGAAACCAACAATATAATAACTCATATAAGTAATGTCTAAGTAAAACTGGTGAGCAATAATGTTCAAAGGCCTTTCTAAAGAGTTTGATCTTTAAAAAGATTCCAGAAGATTATCACAGAAGAGATTAAGCTAATTTTTGAGGGAGATTGTTCCTTGTGCCATGATAGAGGAGCAATACTTTCTGGCCTCAGTCTTCATCACCTCAAGGAATTAAGGTATTATAAGTAAAGAATCCTAGGACAGCCTTCTCAGACAAATCAAATTGAACTGGCTTAGTTTATTTAATAGTATGGTCATAGACCAAACACACAAAATTTTAAAAAGAAAAAAACACAGATATTGAAAGCCAATTTGTGCCTCAACTAAGCACATCTGAAGGAACAATTAAGTCCAGAACTGTCTAATTGTCATTATGATAGTACAAAACTTAACTACATTTCCGGAGACTCCCAGTTGGGTTGTTTAGTAAGTAATGCCCAATTGCCAAATGAGAATAGATAGTTTGTAATGAGAAAGGAGGTAAGCACTACCTCCAGAGTTATAGACAGAGCAGTTCAGAAATACGTGCACTACTGTTTCAATTGCAGAGTCTGAGTAGATACACACATGCTATTATTGAATGGATTCTGCTGAAGCCAACACTGAGGCAAAACATCCAGACTTATCAGTGTGAACACCCTCATGTGAGCCAAGACGAGTAAATTATATTTGTAGTCTGCAAACCATCCACTATCCCAACAACTTTGATAAGATTCCTGTTATAACTTTATATTGTTACCCTATGGTTCTTAGTCCATTTTTAGCACACCCTTTCTCTTAATTAGAAACCAGTTATGGTTCTTTTGGTGCCAGCATGGTTATGGAAAACAGAAGAAGCAATAGAGTGTCAGTTTTCTTCTAAGGCTTTGCCCAACTCTGTTCACATCCAAGCAACTTAAGTACAATCCTTCCGTATGGCATTACAGTGGCATGTTTTATTGTTTACATTGAACAACGTAATAAACTAAAATAGGGTGTACAGTAATTTATGCTGTAAACTATATGTGTGTGTATGTACATTGAAATCATTTTCCTCCTAATCCGCAAAGGTGCTCCAGAAAGTAACAGCAATATTTCTTGTATGACGTGGACCGCTCTTTTGCTTTATTTTCCAAGTTTCCTTAAAGTTGGGGAGATAATTTTACGTAGTTGAAATATATCTATATCTATATATGCGTTTATGTGTATATGTATATGTAATGTGTGTGTGTGTGTTTATATATATATGTATACATATATATATATATATGTAGGTCTAGGTGTGTTCGGGTCTTTTCCCGTGTAAAATTAAGACTATCTTGGCAACGTTTCGGCAAGGTCCCACTTGCCATCCTCAGGCTGGTGCTTTCAGCTTCGTGCCAGTGCAAGCAGTGTAAGCATGAAGCCGAAAGCACCAGCCTGAGGATGGCGAGTGGGACCTCGCCAAAACATCGCCAAGATACTCTTAATCTTACACGGGAAAAGACCCGAACACACCTAGATCCACATACCTGTACCTATGAAAATCTACGAAATATATACATGTACACACGCATATATGTATATATGTATATATAGCATTTTAATTATTTTATAAATAATTAATTTATAAATAATTAATTACTTATACCTAAATTAGAGTAGCAATGTCAATATTCATCCAAAGACTACATTGTCAATTACGAAAGACGATCATGCTAATTAAACACAAAGTCAAAAATGTATTCAAACAAGCAAATAGGTTCGTGTTAATCACAGTATATTTTTTATCGTTTAGAAAGTTTTGTGAATTCAGTTGTGTTGATTAGTTTATGGCTCCGTGTGCTGTATAAACCAGGAAGTGGGTTTGTTTAATGACCAGCTTAAATGTATTGTGTGATCATAGTTGATAAGTCTACAGCAATTTTCCCAAGCAATATAACAAAGACTGCAATAATATCTGCACCACTATCAGCGAATGCTTCTTTACTGATCTGAATGAAACCAGATGTTTTATCTTAATGGGTCATTTGACATATTACTTGTACTGGTATTTCCTTTGAACTACATTGGTATGGAAAGGTTCTAGTTTCTTGAAGTTCTGCCTGAGTCAGAGCAAATAGTTTATACACAGATATTGGAACTCAGTGTTCCCCGCAAACTGGATGACAATTATATAATGTTCACATCATTTCAGTATTTTTCTGCTTTCTGTATCAAACTGGCTTCATTGCTGAACTGTTATAAGCAATGCATTGGATCTTATTTTATAAGAAGAATAATGTGAGAAATATGTTTAAATTCTGTTCCATGGCTAAATTTTTATGTACATTGCAGTGATGAAATTATTGACAA